AAAAAAAAAAAAAAAAAAAAAAATGAGGCTGAGTTGATTCAGTTTTTGCAAGTTAGTCTAAACTGCACAGATTAAATTGAAATAGAAGTGAACAGATGCCTACCTTTGACTCAGGAAATACAGCCACATGTCTGCAGTGTGAGACACTAAAGTACAGCTCTCTGGCTGTGTGTTGACTTCCTCTTCTCGCTGCCCCCAAGGTCTCTGGGATTTGCAACCCACAATCACAGCAGTACGACTCTGTAGGGTTGCTCATCACTTCCTTTCATGCTTCCAGGTGCATCTGAGATTTGTAGTCCACACTTGCAGCTAGCAATAAATTTGAGCAGGGGAGGGGGTGTTTAACCACCCTCTCTGGCCCCAGACCCAGCCAGGTTTTGCCTGGGGGTGGGCAGTCCCCCACCCTGTAGATTGGGCTGGTGGACTGTGATTTAACTTGAACCAGGAAGGGTGCTGGGATAGAAGTTTCATAAACCACTTTGACCCAGTTCAGTTGAGTCTGATATTTAACATTCAACTTGGTTTATCTTAAACCAGTTTCAGCCATTTTGAAATTGGTTTATGTGCACTAAGCTTCTGTTCTGTTATATGTTTAGACAAGTTCCTGATCACTATTTTGTGTAACTTCTGTTCCATGCCTAGATGCTCACTTAATGTGAATTGGCATAGTGCCCTTGACTATAGTGCCTAAGGCGATATAATTTATTTCCCCCTGTGCATTATGAATTATTAGGCATATAATTGTATCACAACCTGTACATTTAGATTTAGGCTATTAAAAAAATATTTAGGTCACGTGTATTTCTTAATGATAGTATTTGTTTACATACATGTTTGAATCTATATTCTTTTATAACATAATAATATAGCTGAAGGGGATGTATAAATCACTGGAGTTTAATGAAGAAGTGATTACAGTTCAGCTGAACAAACTGAAGGAAAGTAGAGACAAACATTTCTTCAAGACATTTGTCATAAAATTGTAATTAGAAACAAGGTTATTTTGATGTTTGGATTAAAAAAATAAATGTTGAGTTAAATATTTATTTTACTGTTGTCAGCATTTTCTTTAATCTATTTTATGCTTGGAATGGCAAACTTTAATTAAATTTGCAGTTGTTTCAGCACAATTAAGAATGTCCTTTATGCATAACAGGACATAAATCTGCATGAAAATAAGCAGGCTTTGAATACAAAAGTAATAATTGAATGAATCATTTAAATCATGCCTACTAGAAGGAACAAACCTATTATATGTGTGCTGCAGCAGCTGTTTTAGTGTTGCTCTCTAAACTTCATGTGCTGCAAAATAACAGTATTTATATTATATAAGAAAATTCTCTTGTTAGAAGTATATATTTGAATGTATTGTTATTTCTGAAAACAGAAGAGTCTCCATCTTTATCATAGGACATCGTATAAAGTAAGGTGACGTTGGGTGAAATGGACATTTACAGTTATTTGACTTTATTTCTAACAATAATAGGCTTGCATCTATGAAGGTATTAGATGTGGTTCAGTGTGGTTTCTTCACTATGTATCTGTCCTGTTCTCTAAGGTTCTCATAAGGTTTTCCAATTAGCTGTCCTGTTCTCCACAGCTTCTTGACTTTGCTAAAACTCATGTGGATCAGCTGTATATGTCTCAAACTTTCATTGCTGGT